AGTTTTGTTGAAACTTTACAGTTAAATGGCGTACACTGAAACATTACACATCACATGGCTTCCAAAGAGAACTGGCCAAAATTATTCCCAATTAAAAGTAGGTGACATTTTAATATGGCCATTACCGCCGTACCTTGTACCGCCGCTGCTTTAAAGGAGTAAGAACGTGTTTTTTAGGTGTGTTTTTGCGAATATGCAGCCAGAGGGCACAACGGGACGGGATACATTAGCTGTAAATACTCTGATAGGTAATAAAGAAACTAAATAAAGATCAAAGATATTTCACTAATTAAAGATAAACAATGAAACAAAGCCTTATAATTTCTTCATTAATCTTTATAAAGACAACTAGGCTGCATTATTTATTGGCTTGACATTGATAGGATTAAATTTATGATTCCTTTTTAATATTAAGTTATTTTCTTTGAAATCTAAATGTATATTTTCCTGCCAATATTACTATTAAACACTTTGCCTAAACATGCTGCCTGCACCTGTGAAGCAATGAAGCATTAATTATATCCTAGTTTTCCAAGGAGCAGAACAAATCATCATCGCACAGTTGGACGGGCACAAACAAAAATATAATTCATATATTTTTCTTTAAAAAAACGTATTTCGTTTGCTATAATTAGTATCTTAATTCTAATGTATTTTTCGTTGGTCAGTTAAGTACTAGATAAAAAAGAATAACAAATAAACTTTGAGGTGAAATGCTTCAAAACTAGTCTGATATATATTAAAGTGAAATATTCACAGTTTCAGAGAAGCCTAACTGTTTTCACTGTTAAATACAAATTTGAATAAGCAGGACAGGCTTTTACAATCTATCAGAACAAACTCTGTTGGAAGGATAAGAGCAGTGGCGCCTGCAGCCATACGGCTGTACGTATTGTGCGCATACCTTTGGAGGGCTCGAATTAATGCCGCTTTTTTATTTATTTATTTATTTTTACATCATTTAAATTGATTATTATACAGTATACAAAGCAAACAAGAATGAGAATAAATAAAGGTGTGCATTTTTTTGTTTTAAAGCGTGTATGAACTTGAATGGTGGGAGATGGGTAAAGAAATCTATTGGCTTTAGTTTTGCTGCCGGTTTTTCTCCACTCTAAAATTGTTTAAAATAAGGATCAAAATGAGTAAATTCTTTTTAAACAGCTAAACTTAATTGAGACATTTGCCAAAAAGACTAAAACTAATGAGACAAATATTGCTTCCCCACGCGGGGTGTAGACTGCAGTCTCATCAGCACCTGAGCCAGGGGAACTCCAGGCTCAGCCCGTGTCTCATTCCTCGGACAATTTTGATCCAACTGTAGTCTAACATAGCAAAATGCAGTTACTTGTGCTAATGAAAAGCAAACCTCTTATACGAAATCCTCTTATAATTCAATTTAATTCAATTTTTGGATTCCTAATTTCTTAATTTACAGAGTTGTATCACATGAAGATCTCTATATACATGACTTCCCTTATTATCATGTTTTTATGATAGACCTAGAATCCTCCACTCTCGCATTGCACTTGAGATTCAAAGCCAGGATCTTTCCCACAGATCAGCCCGGGATCGTTTATGCCGCTTATTGTCATCCTTGCAGATAAACGCGAGATAATGCAGTCTCAGTTTCAACCTAAACTCCTCCATTCATCTGCATGAGTGCGCAGCGACGCAGCGACAAACCCTGGCCCGAGATGCGCTGATGGCAGATTTAGATGTGATGACACTCTTTTCTGCCTTAAATCAAACAGTTATTGCCCCCTTATCAAACCAAAAATACTCCCTCTCACACACTGTTTATGACAACTTTGACATTTCGCTCAGTTTTTAAAGCTCTTGTCAAATTTGCCAAACTGCAGGGCAGAGTGAGATAGAGACAGAGTTAGGAAAGGTTGTCAGAGAGAGGGAGAGAGAGAAGGAGAAGGGGGCTTTATAGACAAAGCATGTGAGGGAAAAGCAGAAGGAAAAAGAGACAGGGAGATAGTGAAAGCAGCCTGGGGGGTTGTTGTAATGTATCTGCAGTGTAGCATGTCAGTGCAGCTTTACTTTACTGCATTCTTATCTGGCGTCAATAATTAATCACAGGTGAGGCGTGGTGAGAAACATGCCCACGGATGCCAAAGGATGCCTCAACCGGTGCCAACAGACAGCAGGGAAGCCTCAAACACAATGACAGCCATCCCTCCCTGCCTCAAGTCTCACCTTACGACATGTGCCTGTGATGCAACGCCGGCGCAGTCTGAATTACATCACCTGTGAAAAAAGCGCAGGAACGCCGCACGGCCTCCAAATCTACGGCGAAGCGACACGCTGGCTGTTTTATTGCTAATTAGGCCATATCTTTTTATTTCTAGACACCAAAAAATCAGCCACATGTATCATGGATATAAATGCGTTATAGTTGTGATCGATTGGCTGGAGCGCAGCCCTGTGGCATGAATATTCATGGGCTGATGTATAGAGAGGGAGGGAGCGGCATCGGAGGCTCGTGGTGTGTGATCCGTGGACTTTACAGTCACCGCCGGGTAGCCTGCGGCTAGCAGCCACCATAAACAATAACGCAAGACCCATTTATAACACTAAAACTCATGTGTCGCCGCAGCCACAAAGAGCACAAGTGACATTTTAATGGGCCTTTTTACTTTTTGTTTTTCAATAATGAATGCATGGCTTGCTGTGGTGTGCTCCACAATATGCGCTTCACTATTGTTTTGAGGCATAATGCAGATTTTTGCTGCACTTGGCATTTATTGGGAATAATTTAATACATATTGCAATCTTCACACGCGCTTCCCTGAGTCCGCTCTCAGACTATGGGAATGGAGATTTTTGTTTATTTTTTATTTTTTTGTGGTGGTGGTGGGATTTAGTGTGATGTCAGAGTTGGGTTTTCTTTTTGTAAGCACTGATCGTTTTGTTTGTCTCTCTGCATGTGTGTACTGGTTTTGGTGGTTTACAAGAACAAAAATGTGTATGGTAGCACTTTATTTTGATTGTCCATTTGAGTATTAGTAGACTGTCTGCTTAATATCTGCTGAGACTGCTCCACCAACAGACATTAAACAGACTATGAGAAACTTTGCAAGTACATGTCAACTTACACTAACCCTAAACAACCCTAACCTCAAACTAACTGTCTACTGAAAGTCTAGTGAAAATTTGTTGGCATGTGGATGCAATGTAACTTAAATTCAACAAACTGAACATACAAATAAAGTGTGACCATGTTTATAATGACATATGTATGAGCTTGTTGTAAGGTGGTTTACGAAAATGCTTAACAGTCAGACTTTGCTACAGGTTTCATGTGAGGCTTGGTTTAGGGGTAGGGTAAGGCCATTAAATATGTATTTTTGTATAAAATATATTACTAAACCAGTGTGTGTGTTACCCAAAGGAGTTTGAATGCAGCTGTTAGTTTACTTTGCTGTGTAAGCTGGGCTGACCCCTCTGTTGATCACTCGCCAAGCACTTATTCTTCACACTGTGCCACTCACGCGCAGACTGAAGGGCACAGTGTGTTTATAATTGTGACATGTTCAAATTGTTTATTATTTGTTTCAATATTTGTTTGTCTCGTGCATCAGGAATCATGTGGTTTCAAGGGGGAAAACCTTGTTTCTCCTTTTATTTCTCCTCTTCTTTTTACCCTGATTCTTTCTTTCTTTCTTTCTTCTTTCTTTCTTTCTTTCTTTCTTTCTTTCTTTCTTCATTAATTAATTCATTTTTCTTTTTTCCTACTTTTTTCTTTCATTCATTTTTCTCTTCCTTTTTTGTTTTTGTTTTGTTTTCCTCACCCAATACTGAATTATTTTTTCATTAATTCTTATTATTTTATTTAAACATTATTTTGCGTTATTTTAGTTTGTCCTTCTCACTGTGCTTTAATTGTTATTCAGTTAGATTTTCTTCCTTACATACTTCCTCCTCTTCTATTTTCCTACTTTCCTCTGTCCTTCCGTATTATGCTTTTTGTCTCCTTGTTTTGTTCTGTTTTTTGTTTTGTTTTTTTCTGTGGAAGGAAGATATTTCTTCTTGTGTTTTGCATTCCCTGCTTTGTGTATGTCCTATTTTTCTTTCCTTCCTTCCTTCCTTCCTTCCTTCCTTCCTTTCTTCTTTTTAAAAATTCCTTCATTTTTACATTTTCTTTATTTTAGTTTTCTCTCCCTTCTTGATGTTTGTTTTATTTTCCTCCCATCTTACTGTTTCCCTTTTCTAAATTGTCATTCTTTCTTTTCTTTGCTTTCCATTTTTTCCTTACCTCCTTACATGCTTGTTTTATCCTTCTCTCATCTTACCGTTCATTCCTACATTTTTATTTCCTTGAATGTTCCCTATTTTTCTTTCCTTCCTTCCTTCCTTCTTTTTCTAAATTTTCATTTTTTTTCCTTCCTCAATTGTCCTTTCCTTTTGTCCTATTTTGTCCTTCCTTCCTTCCTTCCTTCCTTCCTTCCTTTCGTTTTTCATTATTTCTTTTTCTCTTCCTTTCTTATGTTTATTTTATCTTCCTTCCATTTTGCTGTTTTCATTTCATAAAATTTTCCCTAATTTTTTTCCCTTCCTTCCTTCCTTCCTTCCTTCCTTCCTTCCTTTCTTCCTTCCTTCCTTTCTTCCTTCCTTCCTTCCTTTCTAAATTTTATTTTTTATTCTTTCTTTTCTTTGCTTTTATTTATTTTTTATTCCTTCTTTACATGTTTGTGTTAGCTTTCTCCCATGTTACGGTTTTCTTGCTAAACTTTAATTTCCTTATCTTCATTTCCTTTTCATTTCATTTCCTTATATTTTTCCTTTTTTCCATTCCTTCCTTCCTTCCTTCCTTCCTTCCTTCTTTACTCTTTCATTTTTCCATTACTTCATTAGTTTTGCCTTCCTGCCTTTTTCATTGTTTGTTTAGCTCTTTTTCCTTTTCCTTTCTTAAAAGCATTATTAATATGTGTTTCCAGTCACTGCGTATTACTATTTAACCTTTTCCAATGTTCATTTTTTGTCTCCCTTAGAAACCAAACCAGGAAACGGGCTGTGTAAAACAGGAAGCATTGCTCTCTTTGGAAACGTAGTGTACAGCGGGCTGCTGAACGATCACTTTTGGCATTTCGGGGTTCCCCTTGTCACAAGACTGGTGAGTGAATGCCCACTTTGTGTTCTCCAGATTGGTGGCATTGTTGGCACATGCCTCTCTGCTCCCTTTGCCACCTTAGGATTTCCCACTGGCAGCTGGGATTTGGCATCCGTTGTGTTTTGGCTGGGAAGAACCTGTTACAGAAATGTCTGGGGTTTTATTTATACAGAACACATGTGCTTATTAATGTGGGCTTCTTTTATTGTTTTATTTTAATTGGTTTCCTCTCAAGAAGGTCTTGAAATATAAGGGAACATGGCTGTGCTGGCATATTCAGTAAACACATTCACGACTAACAGCAGAGAACAGCAGTGGAAAGGGAATAGGGCTGATCTTGCAGCCGCACGTCATGTTCTTCTTTCTGATTTCCCTGTCTGCCTTCTTTCTCAATGATGCAGGATCTAAATGAGAAGATAATGCATTGGCGTATGATGTGTCTGTTTAAGAACTGAATATTAGTTGGCTACTCAAGTTTTAATTAAACTGTAATCTTAGCGCATGTCAGTGCCTCTGTCTTATTATGAATTGATAAATATTGATGCTCCGTCTTCCTCTGAAAGATGTCAAACAGTATTAGCATAAAGGCAGGGAAGGACAGGGAGGAGGCGAAGCTGGAGCAATTTACTGTCTTATACTCGATTAAGATAAAAAAGGATTTCAGAGGATCAGAAGTATAAATCTCTTAGGGTATCTTGTTTTTCACTGCTTCCCCAATTGAGCATGCAGATGTGTTTCAGATGGAAACTTTACAAGCAGAATTGGGATGTGGTTCAGCTGCGATCCTCAGAAAATGTAGCATCATTTGATTCTGGTTGTAACGTTAAGATTGTGTCATATATTAACATGATTTATTTTATTTTTATTATTTTTATTTTATTTTATTATTTTTAATTTAATTTAATTTGATGTAATTTTATTTTTTAATTTTTAATTTTATGTAATTTAATTTAATAATTTTTAAATTGTATTATTTTTAATTTAATTGTATTAAATTAAATTAAATCTAATCTAATGTAATCTTATTTTATTTTATTTTATTTTATTTTATTTGTAGAATAAGCATTGACACTGACTTTCTAATATTATTAAGTGAGATCCAGCCAAAATCATAATTTTGTCTTTACAAAGAGCTCATGATTTTAGTTAACACTGTTACAGTTTTTCTCAGTTGCTTTCGCCCATTTCTCAGATTAGAATTGAAATTCTCAAAACTACTTGTTCAATTTTCACATCAATGTGTAACTTGTGCACATCAAAAAAGCAGTTTATTGTTCCTTTGAACAAGTTACAAATGTTTTTGTACATCTATGCAAATGAGTATGTAGGATTCTCTGCTGTTTCCTACATCTCATATCAATGAGCAATGAGCTTATCTACATATCAATTCCTTATGTCATGTTGGTCAAAATGTATTATTTTAGTCTCACCCTCTACAACATTTAATCATTTGTTCATGGCTTAAGTCTTTACGTGCAAACAGGGGGAACAAGTTGTCATAACGTTTTGTCATAAGGCATTTTTCTATACATTTCTATTAGACTTTTTTTTCTAAATCTGTCTAGAATGGGCACATCTTTCCCAGGTGAATCTTTACATTTTCTAATGAAGGTGCATCTCAAAGAAGATTGTCCTGTGTTTACATTTTTTTTTTTTACTTCTGTTTTTTTTTTTTTTTGTGCTATGCAGTGCTGTCTTTTCGTTTCTGTATCACAATGTCATTATCTGTCAACAAATTACAATACAAATAGATTATTTTTATTTTCTTTTTGCCATAGTTTACGTCAGAACATAACTCCGAAGTACACTGTTACATTGACAACATGACTAAGAAATCTACGTCTTATGCGTACACAATGACACAAGGACTTGCCATTCTGTTGGTACTGACATGTTCAGTGACAAAAATGTAGTTTTGACAGATGAACTTAGGATTTTGAACAAGGACTGGCTTTTGCAGGTGATCCATTGTGTTTTGCTATTTGTACATGTTGTTTTGAGAAATGCACTTACTGTTTTGCAAATTTAGATTCTGATCTGAGAAGTGTACCAAAGCGACAGCAAGAAGTGAAGTTTTGCAAACTAATTTCGAGAGGAGCACGTGATATGATTGATCCCAGCTGGTCTCTCATCTGTAATCATTAATAAGCCAATCGGATCATTCCAAACCCAATATAAATAGCCCAACAAGCATTACTCCCTCATCTTATTTTTTCGAAGAATCCCCCATCCACCCCATCTCCACCTTTCCTCCTTTTCCAAGAGGGAGTTCTCGAGAACTACCTGATCTCGTACTCCTCACATGCTCATTGAATAGGCCAGTGCCCTGGGCTCAATTATCTCCGAGCTCAAGGTTCTCTCTCGGGACAGCATGCCAAACTTGCTACAATAGCATCAAGCAATATCTAAGTGTGAACTATTGAAAAACTGTAATGTTCCTAGCAGACACAAAACATCTTAAGACAATAATAAGATTGTCAGAGTGTAAGGACAATGTTATTTTGACGTCCAATAAAAACAACGTGAAATGACGTTGATATTTTGTTGATTTTTTTTGGTTGTGTTGGTGACCAAAATCCAATGTCGAGCAAACACCATAATCCAGGGATGTCCAAACTTGTTAAAACCTGCAGAACACTGGCCCTCCAGGACCAAGTTTGGACACCTCTGTCTTAAACCAACATCATATTTAAGTCAAATACTGACATTTATTTATCAGGTATGGCAACCAAAATCCAACATCTGATATACGACAAATTGGTAGCATCCACAAAACGTCTAGCTGTAACATCATTAGACATTGATACTTTGTTGTTTTTAGATTGCGTTGAAAAGTGACCAAAATGCAACGTCTATTTTATATTGGACATTGACGTCGGTCTGATGTTGGGTTCTGATGTCAACCCGATTTTCATTTCCAAACAAACTGCAACATCTCATGATGTTGGAGTACAACATCAATCTGGCGTCATGTTGATGTCCTGTGCCTGCTGGGCTGTCTTGCTAGCCCTTTGATTGTAAACTCTGGTACACTTGGTACTCTGGTAGTTGTGTGGGCAAAACATTATTATTTTTTTTATTTGGGGTAGGTTATTTTTGGATATATTTATACATGTTTGTCCTTTCCACCATTCATTATTTGCACTCTTAACCATGCTTTAAAAAAAATTCCAGTATTTCGTAGACAGGTTCCCAACATTTATGTGATCACCGGCCCATTAGTGATCACATATCAAATGACAGTGATGCTTGTATTTACCTGTATACAGTAATAGTCATATTTGTCATTTTAAAGTTTTGCAGATGACATTTGCTGTTATGCTTGTTGTAATTATGAGTGAAATTCTGCATCATCATTGTGTAAACATGAGTTTTGCTTACTGAATTATCAGAACTACTGTGCAGAAAAACGATACTTACACTTTTACAGTCTACATAGCAGCCTGCCAGAAATCATATACACTTAACATAATTAGAAAAAACAGACATTCTTCAATAACGTTATTTATTCTTGTCAAATTGTTTATAATAGATAGATTGAGGAATGCTAACAAGATTGATGTTTTTAAAAGCAAATGAGGGGGAGAGGGTGTTGTGGATTATGTTCTGGGTCACTGAATGTTTTGGTTTGTTTATATGCATTAAAACATGTAGTAAATCATCTGTAGGATAATGTCTAATTTGGCGTTACAATATTTCGCAGAGCTGGAAGGCTCATAGCAATTATGCTTCCAAACTTTACTTTCCTCTCCACTTTTTGGAAATTCTACTAATGGCTTTTGGAAACACAACACATTGAATAGCCAAAGCATGTTTAAGCGTTTAAGTGTGCTTGCATGCTACCACTCAAATCACTATAAATGAGTTCTACCTCAGTTCCAAAGCACATTGCTTTTTGACAAATTAAGTAAATTAGTCAAAGCCTCTGTAATCAGGTGCAACAGTGCTTTGCATTTTACCTGCTTGTTTTTTGATTAGGCCATGCTTCCATGCATGTCGCTTGCAGTGTCTGTTTGGTCATTGGAAAGTGCTTTTAATGAAAATGGACTGGCATGGCGATCCGTTCCTCAATCTCCCTCCCCAAACTCGCTACAGACGCTAAACTGCACCTTAACCAGATTAAGTCACTTAAACGTGTTTGGAGAATCAAGCCTCCCCAGCAGATGGAGAGAAATGGAGGGCGGTTGTTTTTGAATTAGGTCTCCCTCGATTTTCCTTGCCGGGTTAATGAATAAATGAACTGGCGCGGTAATTGGAAGGGAGTGCGTTGCGAGAGAAGGAGAGGAGCATGCAGCTCCATTGAGTTTATGGAGGCAGAAATGATGACGTTGGATAAAGCACTGATGAGAAAGGTATAGCTCAGTGGGGCGAACATGCCTGAATATGTGTGTGTGTGTGTGTGTGCGCACAGAAGGGAGGACTCAACTTCATTATAAGGTGCTTTAAGTGCGACACGCTGTGATTGTGCCATCTTCTTTCCAAACAAAGGGCAGGAACAGGGGACAAAGGAAACGCCAACGTCCAATAGCCGTCGCAGGAACGTGCACATACTGCTGAATCCTGTCAGTCTGTGCTCAGAGCCGAATTTCAGCTTTTCAGCAGAATGTGTGTAATTGATAGCACTCTGGGGCTGCTCGGGCCTTGGCAGCACGCAAAACGAACGCAAACCTCCAAAGACAGAGACTTTTAATATCTGGCAGGCTCGCTCAGCATGGAAGCTAGACACTGTGTGGCGTGGAGATGTATTGCTGCTCACTTTTGGGTTGCAGTTTGGGGGTTAAAAAAACGAGGGAATCGCTCTCTTCAGCTCCTGTCGAATATACCAAGGCTTGCACTATTTCCAAGACCTGCTGCGCTTGCGGCCAATATGGCGTCCCAGATGTGTTCACCTGCCGTTGGCAGCGGCCAGCTCCTAATTAAGACAGTCTGGCTTGGCTACCGGCTCAACCTGGGCCTGCTCAGACCAAACTTTGCCCATCTGCCCTGCTTAAAGAAGAAAAATA